TATCACTACAATGTCCCGTAAATTGCACTTTACGATCGACTTGCAAATGCCCGTATGTACTTATAGTGTTCGGTTGATGTTACCACGAGCGTAGTTGCAAATTACGGTTACACTAATGAAAAAAATCATATATATATATATATATATATATATATATATATATATATATATATATATATATATATATAAAAAAACAATCAGTCTCATAATCATGGTAATTTTTATTACAGCCCTTCACAAGTCCACTCTTGTACATAGGCCTCCCCCAAAGAATGCTACAAAGCACAGTCCTGAGCCACCTGCATCCATCGACTTCCTTGTCCTTCCATGTCTTACCAAGTCGTTACTCTCATGTCTTATTCAATATTGTAAATAAACGCGGCAACGTATTTTGAAATTGATTTAGAAAAATAATATTCCCTAAGCGATTATCGATCAGATCGGTGAATAGACTCTGATATATTTTTACCTACACCTGACACTATTTTTAAACAAAATAAAAATTAAGTGTGTTGTGTATTTATAATAGTTATAGAACCTAATATATTGTGCAAAACAATTCACTTCACCATATTATCCCATGTGTGTCATTTGAGAAAACAAAGAGAAAAATGAAATACGAAATGGGAAGCAGAATAATTTTAATTCGTTTTATACGGGAATAGATCGTTTTGTTTGTGATTAAAATAATTTTATTTAAGACTGATACAACATTAAAGTATGTAATATTTTATATGAATTTGTTTACACAGATGCCATGAGTTTCGCGTCAGAAGTATAACAAAAAATGCGAATATAAAACAAAAACACGCACGTACGCTACACACGCTGTATTACGATTGTAATCCAAATGCGTCAACTGGATCAGGTAAGGACTCTCTACACTCTCACAGAAAAACAGAATTCAACTAAAAGTTTCGTGGACTTTTTAGTTTGAAGTTGATTGCCTGTAATTAAGCTAGCTTTACTTTGCTGCTATATTATGGTTGTAGCATAAATAGGTCGGTTCGACCAGAAAAGGATTACCCTCTCACAGAATAACCAGCCTGTAATAACAGGTTAATGCGTTTCATATCGTGAGTGTAGAGAACCGAAGACACTTTTTACTTTGTATTTATGTATCTTAGTCTTCAAGGCCTCCCTATGCATTCTATCTTACTACATCATACCTACGGACCACATCATCCACTAACCATCAGGTGGACTGCGTGCTCGCTTGCCATTCTTATTAAAAAAAAAACGCTCTGTTTACAAATGAGTGACCTAGCCTTAAAAAGCCGTGATAACTGAGAGCTTTAGCTCGAAACGTTAAGAGGGATTGACAATAAATTTATAGAATGTGAGCAACCGGTGTTCGAATCTCGCCGGCACTGAAATTGTTATTTTTTTTTCATTTTATGAATAAGGTTTAATCAACAGTTGTTTCATTGTTTTAAAGACAACGTTCAACCACTTTTATACGAACAAAACAAGCAATTGGAAGGATAACTTAGGTACCTAAATTAAAATTGAAAAATAAATATTAGATCTTTATAGCATCATGTGACAATATTATGTAAAATGAAGCTTAATTTTGGTATTTATGTAGAAAATCGTTAAAATATCTGTTACGATCAATTTTAGTAATAAGAAGTTTAATATATAATATTATTTCTAAAGTTCCTTTAATTTGTCTTATCTATTTTTCGTAACATTTTATGATTTTTATAAGTCGCAGTGTAGGAAAGAACCTGCATATCTAAGAAAGAAAATATGTCGAAGACATTGGAAGTTAGCCCTCGGTATAACGCGGCGGACTTTATTGCTCCATATGTTTTTAATGTTTCAATTATGAGGCCAGTTCCCAGCAATGTGCTATAGGTTTTACTACTATTGCTTATTTCCTTACATTAGATATTGAAAGTCAGTGAATTAGAAGAAAATATCTTCTCGCTTAAACGTTAAGGTTAAGTATATAACTATTTAGTGAGGAAACGCAGCCAGCGTTCTTGGCTCGATACCACTAACACAAATGTTTAGTTTTGTTTTTCTTTATTATAGTTTTTTAATAACCTTGAAGTTAGATTAATTTCAAATTGTATAGTCAGTATTTTGGTATTCATTTCATTCAGCTATGCCTAGTAATGAGAATGATCGTAAACGTGTTGTAAATAATATTTATGTATAAATACAAAATAAAAAATGGTTATATAAAATAGTTAAGTATGCTTTTCGCTAAGTTTCGCTGTTCACAACTATCGGCAGTGTATAATTCCAGGTCATCGCTTATCGTGCGATTCTCAGGTCACGCGGGAGCAAGTCGCGAGACCGGTCATGTTTGACAAATTGTTCAATTATACAGCAATTGCCTAGCGACGACCAACGACGCGGACACCTCCAGTTTGAACTACACCTCATTTATTGCGGGCGGTGGGGTTTGTGCCGGTCTGGTACTTGAAAGCGTAGTTGTGTGTGTTATATAGCTCTTGAGGGTCCTTTGTATCATCCCGTATATTGTTTACTGTTTGAAGACTGCGTTAATGTTATTTGAATAGAATATTTTGTTTTCTATAAAGATGACATGAGTCTTAGAATACAATAATAATTTGTATTCTAGTGTGAAGGATAACCTTATCCGCACACTAGATTCTCCGGCGTTTTGCACGCATAAACACGAGGATATTGGACAAACATCCAGATCTGGAACAATTATTTGCAGGCTATATAAACCACCAACACCTGTTTTGTACGGGATTCGATCCTGCGACACTGTATTTCCGCAACGCCGCAGCAAAATACTTAGCCACTTTGCTACCGAGGTCCGTAGTTAAATTATTACCTCCTACTTCTTCTTTTCACAAGGCATTAAGAGCTCACTGTTGGACGTGAGTTTCATTCTATTTCCTTTTGTGGATGTAAAAGTATTTCTTTTTAATTAACACTAGTTACGAAATGATCTTTGTCCTCTTATAGCAGCAAAAATAATTTGACAAGCTTACAATAATGTTGTACGATCATTTTATACGGTATATTATAGAAATAGCGTACCTAATGAGGATTACTTCATTTGTAGGAATTATCTCCATTCATGTATGTATACATGAATGATATTAATATAAATATCCATAAAACCCTTTTTTTAATACGGTTTTAATCAAATTTTAACTTGTTTTTTTTAAAAATTGCTAGTAACTGTTAGTTCTCATGCGTTGGTGTGATGTTGGTCACGAGGAAACTGTACTATACACTTACGAATCTGTCACTCTCTCATACATATTACTGTAGGACAATTCATCCATTTGTTGGCGCTGAATCGAAAGTTGGATATAAGATAGTACTGTTCTCGTGTTGGGATTTTGTGCGCGACCATTCTGTGACCGAATTTGTTTTTTTTTTAATAGAATAATGTTGACAAACGAGCGCATAGTCCACCAGATAGTAAAGGGATTCTGTGGCCCGATGAGGATCGATATTTATCCTCAGTTAAGAAATAAAATGTAGGTGCGTTGACACCCCCTGAGGATTGAGATGGAATGCCTTTTTTCCAGTAAAAAGGGTTTCTGGTTCTCTACACTCACCATACGAAACACAGCAGCATTAAGTTGATATTTTACTATGGTATTCTGCGAGAGCGTGGTGCTAACCAGGTCGAGCCGACCCATTCGTGTTAAAACCATAATATAGCTGCAACGTGGCTCTACCCTTACACGCTTTGACTCCTCCCTCTCCTTTCCACCATAGGATTTCCACGTTGAATACACCGGTTCTCGTCCGATCACCGAAGTTAAGCAACGTCGGGCGCGGTCAGTACTTGGATGGGTGACCGCCTGGGAACACTGCGTGATTCTTACGTGGTAGAGCCATGCTGCACCTATATTAATAGTATAGTTGTAGCACGAATGGGTCGGCTCGACCGGGGAAGGACCACGCTCTCACAAATTACCAGCGTAAAATAGCAATTTAATGCTGCTGTGTTTCGTATGGTGAGTGTAGAGAACCGGAGACCGATTTTACTGGAAAGGAGGCATTCCATCTTAGTCCTCACGGCTAACAACGCACCTGCATTTTAATTCGCAAAAGAAGATAGATGTAGATGTCTATGGGCCACAGCAACCACTTACCAACTGGTGGACTGTGTGCTCGTTTGTCACCCTTACTCTATAAAAAAAATAGGACAACCAGACGGTCGGCGGGTCTTCATCCCTTTGTTGTCGATATTCCACGCATTAGAACCAAACGGTTTGCTTCGTCTTTTGTAATGCGTACAGCAAAGGAGTTGACAGCTCCGTGGCGCAGTGGCTTAGCAATGAGTTGCTGCGTTGGGGGGCGCGGGTTCAAATCCCGCACGGAACAAGTATTTTAAATAGCCTACAAATTATTGTTCCGGGTCTGGATTCTTTTTTATTTTTTTTTTATTCTTTTTTTTTTATTTTTTTATTTTTTTTTTAAACCCCCACACTAGGATTTTCTCCTGTGTCGTGGAGGCAGTTTACAAACATAAATTGCACAAGGACAAACATCCAGACCCGGAACAATTATTTGTAGGCCATACAAATACTTGTTCCGTGCGGGATTCGAACCCGCGGCCCCCAGCGCAACAACTGATTGCTCAGCCACTGCGCCACGGAGCCGGCGTGTGTCTGGATGTTTGTCCTTGTGCAATTTGTGTTTGTAAACTGCCTCCACGATACAGGAGAGAAGCCTAGTGTGGGGGTAACGTTTTATTTAATCGAAAAAAAAGAAAAAAAAAGGAGTGGAATAATTTGCCGGTGCGTCTATCTTTCCGTCCGAATACAATCTGGGCGTCTTCAAAGCAAGAGGGAATAGGCTATTGTTACGATAAGACAGTGCGATTTACCATCTAGGGCTGCATCACCACTTTCCATCAGGTGGGATTGTGGTCAAGCACTGGATATAATAAGTAAAAAAAAACAAGGAAGTTTTTTTTTGTTGTTGTTTCGTTGTGTGAACTTGTTTCTTCAAACGTTCTATTATAATAAATTAATTCAAAATTGACTCACCACTTGTGCCGCGTAATGCACGCTGCTGAATCGCAGCCACACGCGTTGTCCATTTTGCAGCCACCATGGCGGCACGTAGAATCGCCGGTCGTACCACACCAAGCCCACATGGTCTCTCAAAGAGACGTCCTCACCTACGTCATTGTACGACGACGGTACTGGCATCTTGATTACTGGACCTGTCTGAATTACGATTGATTGTTATAGTTAAAGATTTAAAATATATATAAGGTAAGATAGGATCACAAAATAAGCCGAGTAGTTACACTATAATTAAACATTAAACATTATAATAAGAGCCGTGATAGCTCAGATGGTTAGCGCTCGTTAATAAATTCGTATATTTAACAGTACGCAAGCAACCCAGGTTCGATCCCCGCCGGCACCGAGGAAATTGTTAACTACAATTTTAAGTACTGATTTACCACATGAAGTGAAGGAAAACATCGTGAGGAAACCTGCATGTCTGAGAAATAAGATAAATATATTTCGAAGACATGTGAAGTTCACCAACACGCATTAGAGCAGCGCGGCCGACATTTCCATGAGATGCTGCCTGTGTCCAGCAGTGAAACGTAGATAGCCTGTAACTTAAGATAGGGTGGTGTCGCCGTGTAAAAAAGCCATCATTTCATTTCACAACGTGGGTGTTTTTTTTTAAATAAAATTAAAGTGACCAGCTAACAGTCCATCTGGAAGTAAATTTATACATAGAAGTCTACACATGTGTTGTCACTTTCGAACACCGAGACGGAATGCCTCACAGACTGCTTTTATATTGGTGTATTGGCTCTCCATATTCTTCAGATCGGAACACAGTGCTGGCACTTTGCCGCAAATATCTATACAAATAAATAAAATTGAAAAAAAGCACAGGACATATTACGCCCGTAATGAGGGTAAAATATGTCCTGTGCTATAACTTGATTTAACATGTTGTGTACCAACTATATTTCTTGCAAGTAAATGATTTATAATTTATGAAGTGTCTGTTTGTAATGTCAAAATAACAGCTTTTTACTAAAAGCATATGAAAGTATACACAGTACTTATAACAAAAACAATTTTTTTTTATATTTTTGTCTGTCTGTTTGTGTGTATGTCTGTCTGTCCGTCTGTCTGTCTGTCTGTCCGTCTGTCTGTCTGTCTGTCTGTTTGTTCCGACTAATCTCCGAAATGGTTAGACCGATTACGACAGGACTTTCACTGGCAGATAACTGCTGTTATAAGGAGTAACTTAGGCTACTTATATTTTAGAAAAAGAATTAGGGTTCCGCGCAACATAATTAAAACCCTAAATTTCACGCGGGCGAAGTCGCGGGGAACAGCTAGTAAATAATAAAAGAGTGGTACGTTCCCAGACGGGCTCGTAGGTAGAAATCTAATCCGAATATGTAAACGGCGATTATTAAAAATGTAAAAAAAAAAACGAATTGTGTCCGATGGCGGAATAGTCAGTTCCGTAGTTCTACATTTTATGTTATCTATCTATCTTCTATACTATAATAAAATTCTAACACGACGTCTGTCTGAACAGTGAACACGCATCACGCAAAAACCTGAGAACCGATTTGGATGGGACTTTCACAGGGAGAAAGCTGATATTATAAGGAGTAACTTAAGCTACTTTTACTTTAGAAAAAGAATTAGGGTTTCGCGCAAAAAAAATAAAATTCATGAAATCCAATCGCAATAAATTCCACGCGGGCGAAGTCGCGGGAAACAGCTAGTATTAATATTCGCAGGCGGGTAATCGGCAGCAGTATCAAAGGTGCCATATTTATTGTAGCCTATTAGTTAAGAGTACGGATGGATAATTAAAAAATTGAGAACGAATTCCTCCATTGGACAATTATAAAACGCTAATATAACAATTAACTTCAATCAGTTAACGAGAATATAAGTAATGTTAATGCATTGCTAGTATTAAATGAAAGATTAAATTGACTGACTTGTTAGTCTAGTGGTCGTAAATCTTGATTATGAGGTCCCAGGTTCAAACCCGGGTTGGGCCAAAATAAAAATAATTTATTGAGTTTACATGTCAAGAAGTAATCAGTAGCAGCCCGAAGTCGGAAAGCACGTAAAGCCGTTGGTCCTGCGCCAAATCTCTCTCCAGTCGTGTTGGATTGTCCTTACATCGGACAATGAGAGTGAGGGAATAGAGAGTGCACCCATGCTTACGCATACACTCTGGCATTATATTCCTGTCCTGCGCAGAGACTCCGTTGAGACTGGGGTTCCATAAGTCCTCGGAGGTGACAACACATTTGATTCGATCTAGTTCGATTAAGAATAGAGGATAGATGTAGATGTCTATGGGAAACAGCATTCACTTTCTGTCAGGTGGACTGTGTGCTCGTCTTTCACTCTTATTCTATAAAAAATCATCTTTCCGTATTCACCTATTTCCTCCTCAAAACTGTGCCGCTTTTACTTTTTTTTCAAGTACAATATAAGAATGGATATAATATAAGAATGGATAGGGTTGGCAACCAACCTTTATTCTTTATTTTTTTATATTTAATAAGCTTTAATAATTTTGGAAGCTTTCCTAACTTATAAAATAACTAGCTGTTCCCCGCGACATCTCCCGCGTGTTATTTATTACGATTGGATTTCATGGGTTTTTTTTTCAATGGTTTTTCGAGCGGAACCCTAATTTTTTTTAAATAAACGTGGCCTAAGTTACTCCTTATAACATCAGCTATCTACCAGTGAAAGTCCCGTCAAAATCGGTCCAATAGTTTTGGAGATTAGCCGGAACAAACAGACAGATAGACAAAAATTTTAAAAATTATGTTTTTGTTATAAGTACCGTATATAATTTCATATGCGTTTAATAAAAAGCTATTATTTTGACATTTCAAACAGACACTTCAATTTTATTTATTTGTGTAGATGTATATATTCATTTATTTAAATAAGGGACATGGTAGTGGTAGGCATAGATTATATCGTAAAAAATATTTGCTTTATTGTCCATATCCAGGAAAAAAACAGAGTAATATTTTTGTATGGACGAACCTACCTGGATATATCCTCTTAAAACCAGTGCCAATTTCTGATATATTGTACAACGCGATTGTTTTGATGTTTTTTTGTTTTGTGACTCGCTTAATAGTAATTCTATGGTGTTTTACAAATAACAAAGTTTTAATATCCTGAAACGTTTGTACAGAGAGTAGTATAAAAAATGAAATCAAAATATATTTACGTTCGTTTCATTGTATACCATTATAGGACAACTTTTCCTTTAATGTATGTAACTGTATATTGATGAATAGCGTTATTTCTATTAAATGTACTTTATACCTAACGATTGCTCACTAGAATTACTTAGAAAAGGAATGAGAACAATTGGATGGAACAAAGCAGTAACGGCACTCAATGCTAAAGCTCAATGGGATACTGAGCTTATAAGGCAAACTTAAGGCCAAAATGATGGCTTCAATCTTGTTTTATCTTCGGTGGGCTAACGGTTCTAATACCTTCGTTAGTTTAATGTGTATACTATTTCAAGTTCAAGATTTCAACAGGAGTCTAAGTCATTGTAGTATACGAATAGTTCTTAGAAAAATACGTTTTTTATTATCTCTTTTATTGCTTACCCTGAAACTGACAGACTTATTAAGTAAATTAAGTAGTTGTGTGAATGAATAAATGTCTATTTTTTGATTGAACGAACACGGAAATATATTTTTCGAGGAAGATAATGTATAAATAAATAAATATAATAATGATTTATTAGGTGTAGACTCCTTTTCTGGAGATCGTCTTGTGAGATTCCATCCTTTTCTATCTTTGACACCAAACAGGAATTATTCCACTGTTGTTTTCTAGTTTCTAAAAGGCATTTAGAGCTCGTATAGGGAAGGCATCGCAATAAAACTTATTTGGGCTGTAGCTCTTTTATAAAGATAATGTTATAAAAATTCCTGGCATTAACTGAAATACTATTATTTAAGGGATTTCACCTAAACGCTATAGTTGGCGGAGCAATCCACTGTGAATATACTCGATGTATATACCATATATATATAAATATAAAAACTATACCGACGTTGGAAAACACTGTCAAAAGTACGATTCGTTTGGTACTGAAACCACGAAGCCGCCTGCCAAGAATGGCGGTAAGGACAAAACATTCCTGATAATAGCTGAGTATGATGAAAAGGAAGGTGAGTTTTATGGAAGTTGTTTAAAAATTAAAAAAAATCATCGAAATGATGTATAATATATTTTTATGCTTGACGTCCTTGAACCATTATTTTTTACCTGTGTTCCCCGGCTTAAGATAAAAAGCTAGAGATATAAATATGTTTTATAGTACTCGTATATACATAAATCTCATTTACCGTGTATAACTTTTTGAATTATGTTAGTTCTATTTACATTTCACATGCCAGGATCAATGAGTTACATACAGGGACACGGGGCACACAACCCTCCTTAGCGGGATTCCGCTAAGGAGCGGGATCCTGCTCTAGGGCTATAGGTATGTATATACTGGTATATACCACGATGTATAGCAGCCCTTGGCATATACATAAATATAAAAATTAATTGACTCTACTGGTTGAAAAATTCACTGTAAAAGAATACCAGAGTAAAATAAAGTTGTGGAGAATTGGATATAGTAATGAGTATCTATTGGCCATTGGTCTTTTTTTTTTGCTTAAACATATTACAACACTAGATATTTAATTTCTCCTTTAGCGTGTAGGCATTTAGAATACGAGTACATAAATTGCAGATGGACAATCGTTGGCATATTTTTTTTACACCATACAATTTTTTATTCGATGAGGTAAATATTTGAATCCGCGGTCCGCCAATCCCACCTGGTGGGTTGTACTTGATTTTCAGTCTTACGTACATATAAAGTTTTTATTGTTTTTTTTGTTTTTAAAAAACGTCACCCCCACACTAGGATTCTCTCCTGTGTCGTGGAGGCAGTTTACAAACATAAATTACACAAGGACAAACATCCAGACCCGGAACAATTATTTGTAGGCCATACAAATACTTGTTCCGTGCGGGATTCGAATCCGCAGCCCCCAGCACAACAACTGATTGCTAAACCACTACGCCACGGAGACGTCAAAAAGTATAAATATAGTATACATATAGTATAAATAAAGTATACAAAAGTATACATGTCATATAAAAATCGTTAAGATATTTGATATATTGAAATAAAACAACCGTTTATATGCCGTGCGATTGCTATTTTATGATAACTGTTGACAGCCACACAATGACGAGCCCCGGCGAGGAGCCATAAATGTAGAGACATGAATCAGTTTGATTTTGCAAATTCATCCCATCACAATCTTGATATGTCAAATGAAAATTGCTTTGCAAGCGATATAAGGATAAGAATCGCAATCGAAGTTCGTAAATGTTTTTTAGCATTTATTGTTATTTATATCTTTTAACAGGCTTCAAGTTTTAACACCGAGAATGACAGGCACGCTACGGTCAATATATTAATATTATATTAGATTAGATTTGACTTGTTTTTTAATTAATTTGAACTGAGTTCATTATTGACAAAATGTTGAGAAGATCCTGTATCAGTAGGTACTAATGGTTTTAAACTAGAACACTGTGTGATTAAACATTCACAGTGTTAAAAACTTAAAGGGCAGTGCCAACGGGAAGTGCCGTGTGGAGACTGCTTAATTGCAATTCAAAAGTAACGAAAGTAGTGTAAATCTCAATATAGATAAATAGATACCTTCTCCAGATCTTGCTCGTACCAGCCATTCCGATATCCATACTCAGGATCTGTGGGGGACTTTCTAAAGTTCCAAATGCCATCTAATGTTCTTAAGTCCCTTGTCTCTGTGGCCTGTGGATATAGAGCTCCTCCAGTATACGGGGGACGTTTTTTCTGCGTTTGGTTTATCTCATTGGCGCTCGATGATCCCGGTACCGTGGCATTGACAAGGGATATAAATAACGTCGAAATTAATGCTAGTCTCGATGTACTCTTCACCATATTCTGTAAGGAAAATAGACATTTAAGTTTTTTTCTATTACAGTCTTTATTTATATTACATACTAGCTGTGCCCCGCGACTTCCACCCGCGTGGAATTTACTACGATTACATGGATATCAATTTTTTTGCGCGGAACCCTAAATTTGTTTTTGTGTAATGTTACCATCTTATAAATATTGACAAATATTGACATTAATATTTATACGTTAAACGTCACTCAATTGTTTTGCCTTCCTGGACCCCCTCCACTAACACTTAAACTTTATGGTATGATATTAAAGTTTAAATTGACTTTTAAGTATTATTACGAATCTTCTGTATGGGAATATAGGAAAGTGTTGACTAAAATGAATCGCTGAATGTGTTGCTAAGCGCAAATCTCGAGAGCAGCTGAAACGATTTTGCTAATTCTTTTTTTATAATATTCCTTGCAGTACGAAGATGGTTCTTACGGAGAGAAAAATTTGTTAGTGGCCCCTCCACTAACAACTTTATGGTATGATATTAAAGTTCAAATTGATTTTTAAGTATTATTACGAATCTTCTGTATGGGAATATAGGAAAGTGTTGTTTTTGGACTTTATCAGGCAATTTTTTAAATTATTCTCTCCGTAAGAACCATCTTCGTACTGCAAGGAATATTATAAAAAAAGAATTAGCAAAATCGTTTCAGCTGCTCTCGAGATTTGCGCTTAGCAACACATTCAGCGATTCATTTTTATATTATAGACTAGCTGACCCGGCGAACTTCGTACTGACTAACAGTCGATACTTTATTTTTTTATTTTTTTATACTTATTCTGCTATTCGGGACACCGGCTCAGCTAGTAAGATAAAAAAAGAAAAAAGAGAGGTGATAAGTCAACAATTACATTAAGTATGTCAAAAAATAAAAATTATAAAACACTTAAAACTCTTTTAATAGTCACTAAAAAATCAGAATGAAAATTACAATTTCTGATTTCTTATTATGATACCTACTTATTATATTTCATTTTATTTTTACTTATCTTATACGATACGATACGTTACGATACGATACGATATAATATTTATACGATACTAACGTCACTCAATAGTTTTGCCTTTTTTTTTTATATAGGAGAGGGGGCAAACGAGCATGCGGCTCACCTGATGGTAAGTGACTACCGCCGCCCATGAACAACTGCAACACCAGGGGAATCGCAGATGCGTTGCCGGCCTTCCCGAAACCCCTCCACTAACACTTAAACTTTATGGTATGGTATTAAAGTTCAAATTGACTTTTGAGTATTATTACGAATCTTTGGTATGGGAATATAGAAAAGTGTTGTTTTTAGACTTTTCCAGGCAATTTTTTAAAATTTTCTCTCCGTAAGAACCCTCTTCGTACTTCAAGGAATATTATAAAAAAAGAATTAGCGAAATCGGTGCTGCTGCTCTCGATATTTGCGCTTAGCAACACAGCGATTCATTTTCATATTATAGATATATTATATACAGTATTAATAATAATAATACGCTTAAAATTTAAAGTATCATTTAACCATATTCGCGTTTTACTCGCTAAATAACTTCACCTTTTTTACATTAACCTTAAGCGAGAAAAGAACTAGACCTCTTGTCGCCAGCGGTGACGTATTCACCACGTATGTACTCCACGACACTGCTAAAATTGTTGTGTTTCTATTAAAATATATACATTTTACGTAACATTCTAAAATTTTCCATTTTTACACCTCGCTTACGCCAAATGTAAATACCCTGAAAGGCGTCTGCTACAAGTCGCGGCATGTAATTCTAGCGCATGAATTCGATTGCACGAATGCGACTAGAGAGCCAATCTTCGCGTGCGAGCGATAGGCACGAGCCAATCAGCACGATTTATGCGCAATAAGCCGCCGCTAGATTTTCGTGTCGCTACTTATACTGTGATCGCCTACCGATCATGACGATTAAGTTTAAGTGAAGATTAAGTTAACCATCGCTGCAGCAGGATCACGTCTACTACTTTTACTTTTTGAGTCGATGATGATGATGATAATGATGATGTATTTTGCTTTAGTGTAAAATTTGTGAGGTTTGCCCCGAACCCAAAACCTCACGTATTAAGCCCTGATGTGGTAGGGCCTCACCTTGTAGAGCCTCACCTAGTAGAGCCTCACGTCGTAGATTTTACGAATTATACGCGAATGGATACAAGAATGGGTCGGCTCGACGAAGAAAGAACACCGCTCTTACAGAATACCAGAGTAAAATAGCAGCTTAATACTGCTGTGTTTCGTATGGTGAGTGTAGATAACCGAAGACCCTTTTTATTGGAAACGAGGAGATTTGAGATATTCCATCTTAGTCCTCAAGGGTGACTATGCATCTGCATTTTAATTCTTAGTCGAGAATAGATGTAGATGTCTATGGGTCATAACATCCACTTACCATCAGGTGGACTGCGTGGACATTTTGTCACCTTTTTTTTACTTGTATAAAATACAAGAGGGTAAACACAAGTAAACGAGCATGCACCTCTCCTAATGGTAAGTGACTACCGCTGCCCATAAACAACTAGTATCGCGAGTATTGTCGCGAAGTACGATGGTGACATTTAGGTCTAACGTGCAGAGGGATGCAACGTCTTCAGCGCCAGTGAATTGTGTATAAAAAAATCTCAATCCGTCTGGAGTTCAATAAAAATTTCTGATATTATGTCTGTTTTTAGTAGTAAGCTCTTAAACTAACTTGCTTACATCAATTTATTACAGAACCTGGACGCCGAGCTGCTGTGCAATTATTGGAGATATTGTTAGATTAGAGAAAGCTAGTAAATGCTTGGATAATTGGCATAGATAGGTGTCCCCAATCGATGTGCATAATTCAAACGTTCAGTGTCAGATCTAGATCGGGTCCCCCTGCGGCGTTTATGACAAGCACATGCAAATACGAGAAAGCCTGTATGCCCAGTGGGACGTATGTAGGTTGATGTATATATTTGATGTATTTAAGTAGATTTATGTATGTGTACGTCTGTATTAATATATTTACATTTTACGATATATGTATAGAATATCTTTTATATATATATATATATATATATATATATATATATATATATATATATATATATATATATATATATATATACTGGTTCATTCGAACTTCGTTACCTTTTTTCTCATTATTAGTTTATTTTTGCTGCACTACCTCCCATATGTTTATCTCTGCTTAGCCTAATGGTTGACTGAGATAGAATGCCTTAAGGTATTAAGTCCGCCATATGTACGATTTTTCCTTTGTGCATAAAAGTTTAAATAAATAAATAAATGATGATGATGATCATGATGATGATGAAATGATTACAAAGAGCTTATATTACATTTTATGTGTAGTTGATTGTAAGGAAACATATTTCGAGGACATGTTATGTCCGCCAATACCCACTGGAACAGCGCGTGATTTTCTCTCCTTACTCTATTAATAATTGAAAGTGCGAGGAGACTTGTGTTAAAGGATTGGATATTTATATACAGTGTAGTGGCGGTGTGAGAATATCCACTACCTCATATAATCCCGTGGGTGTCGTAGGAGGGCCCAAAGAGAAAATAAACCGGGAAACAGGCAGCAGCATTTTCCTGATAACAGCTGAATAAAAACTGCGGTTACCAGCCCGCTTGCCAAGCATTGCAACTATGGTAAATGGTTCAGCAGTGGACTTTGATAAGCTTTAATGGTAATTAATGGGCTACCACTTGAATTTTTAACAATTTACAACCTGACTGACGCACAGCCTAAAGTTGGGTAGTAGTTTTGAGCGGTTTTATGTACATATATAGGTACCCTGGTTTCTATGTCCACGCGTAACTTGCTAAGCTGATCGCTGGATTTTAACAAATAATATTCTCAGAGTAATTACATACATATGTATCTCAATCAAGTGGTCATAATTGTGTGTCAGCCTAAATAAATATTATGGACATGAACTGTAAGAATCAAACAAAAATTATTATTATACTACTACTTGCTATATAATTAAAATTACTGTATAATTACTAATTATATAATAATTTTAAGTTTCGTGTTAGTAGTTTAAAAAAACTTAGACCAGCGCAGTCGAGATTTGAGTTATTTTTATATTTTTGTCATAATATTTTCTTGTTTTTATTTAAGTTTAAAAGTATTGAATATTCTGTGTTGTGTAATCCTGTGAAAAGATTTTGGTCAACTTCAGGACCGGTTGTCTAATTGAGTTGATAAATTAACGTCAGTCATACTCCTATTAAAAGTTAAAATAAATAAGTTTGTGGCTTTTGGGCTGGTTAAGACCTACTGGGTGGTTTTGAATGCGATATAAGATTTGGTTTTTGAATAAAAAATATTCTCGTTGGTCTAGAAGTCGTAAGTGTGACCGCTGATCGTGTTTTTTTTTCAGGAAGTTTGCGTGGCTTTAGCCCCGTGCTTAGGAAAGCATATTAGACTGTTAGTCCTGCGCCTGATCTCTTTCTGGCCGACGACGGCAGCCGCCGTTAAATTGAATTATGAGAGTGAGAGAATAGAATGGTGTTCATGTACTAGCGCACATATTCGTGCACTATAATTCTGTCTTGTGTAGATGCCTATAGTATCCGTTAAGACTGGCCTTAGAGGACACCTGGAGAGCATAGTCTTAACTAAGCAACTCAAGGATGTGCTGGTTCTGCTCCTTAACGCAAGAAACGCCTCTGCACATCCTAACTGATTGTGGACCCTTAATGCGTAAACGTAATACTCACCTGGGAAACTACTCCGCCCAGAAGAAGTGAAGTGAAATTGCACACAGCTAATCAACTCGTTCAATTCATTGAAGAAATAGGGTTTAGCGGTGAATTATAGCCATAGCAGCGATCACAATAGATCTTATAGGTCGCAGTGATATTGGTATTTCTAGAGCTGCATAGCTGCTCGCACACAAAAAAAGCAAAAATCTTAAATACCAATAGATATAAGAATTACATAACCATGTTCAGTATTGGAATTTCTTAAAACAGGA